TGCACAACCCTTCCAACCAACTACTATACGAACGCACAAACATGACAAAAATTTCGGAAAGACTAATACACTTACAGACAAAATGGACAAACAACCTCCACAACTGGACCATACTGAATCCCCTTTGCCTCGCAAGACCGACAAAACACTCCCGTTTTCGTTCCCCAACAGATACTTTACTAGAACACCTACAAACGCAACTGAACTAAGGACTAATATCTGTTTGTTTTGTAAGCCAGGAATTTTTACTTTTTTTTATTTTCTTTGTATAGCTGATTAATTTATACGAGCGTTAGGAATAGGAATTAATTTTAGAATAAGCTAGGCTAAGGCACATATATAATAAACAAGGGCAGAAAGACCGATTGGGTCGATAGCCTTTTTCTGTAGGAAATAAAGATTATTTATATATATATAGACCATATTCCGAAAACTCTTCCGTCTACAGCGTGTCAAAGTATTAATTAAAAAATATTTTTTTTTATATTGCGGAAACCGCTGGGAATATTTAAACGAAATTTAATTTTACAAACCTAGATTTTTTAAGCAATAATCCTGATGATTCAAATGCCTGTTCAATTTGGAAGAGAAAAAGCTCTTGACTCTTTCCAATGAAAAACTACTCGAAAACGACGTCCCGTTTTCGAAATAAATTAAAATTGATTTATTCTATAGCTTAAGCGGGTTGTAATTAAGTAAAGTTTAGTATAAAAACAAAAATTGTGCACTGAGATTGTATCAATTTTTTACAAAAAAAACGCAAAAAGAAGTTACTCAGACACTCGAAATAACAGCAATTATTAAATTTTTTCAATCAGTGACCATAACTAGTGCAGAGCCACTTTTTAAATTAAAATTGCCCGATTACGCTGGGCAATAAATCGATTTTACTTTTTTTACTCAAACACGGTGCGTTGTAGAAAAAAAGTCAAGAGACCTTTTCTCTTGAAAATTGAACCGGAACTTAAAAAATCATATTTACTTTTAGAAATATCATTGGCGTAACATTTTTTATTTAAAATTATCTACAGACGTGTCTGTGCTTATGCCACTGGCGAAGCTAAAAACACAATTTTTATCACTAAACATGTATTGGTGTTAAGTGCCTCAGTCGGTCAAATTTCATTAAAATATTCCAAGGGGTTTCCACTCTATTAAAAAATATAATTATTAAATTATTACTTTAACACGCTGTAGATGGGAAACTAAGAGTTTTCGGAATATGGTCTTTTAAAGAAATATATTCAAAATTACGTGCACTATCACCTCCTACGAGGAATGCATCTACTTACCAAACACCCTGTATAATTAATTTATCTTTAACAGCGCTAACATAAAACCAACTCAATTTGTAAACCGAAGAGGGAATTTATAAAAGGAGTTTGTTACATTTTTTATTTCGCTCTTTTGTCTCGCAGTATTCCAAGTTCCAATTTTTAGATGGAACTTTTTGTTATTGAATAGTTTTTTGTTGTTTGTTATTGAAGAATTAATTTTATCTCAGGTTGGAAAACTAAAATCCGCTCATATCATTCCAAAAACTGTTAAAAATATGTATGATCAGGAATGTGAGAGCACCCGAAGGGAACACAAAACACCTCTGAAGATGCTATTTCTAAACTCATAGGTATCGGCGACCGCTCAAAAGCCCAAATTTCACCGAGTATTCAGTTTTCGTTTCGTTTCACCGTTATCTATAATTGAAAATATATAGTAATAATAGCCTATAGTAAAACTTTATTTGAAGTTATTAATAGTTAAATGAAACACTTCGAAAATAATTTCAGCATTTTAATAATTAGATATGTTTTAAGACCATGAGTTCCATGTACTCGAGCAACTCCGTACAATCTGAAAGTGTAAGGTCGAATTTTGGAAAACAAAATGGTCAATGTTCAACACCAAGTATGGGCCTTGTTGCAACTGTAAGAGTTCAGCCGACAAATGGACAAGTAAGCACGGTAATTGATTACCAGATTTTCAGTTCTAGTATCTAGATATATTCAAAAATTGCATTGTTTTAGTCTTCTAATCACTATAACTAAATCATTTTTAAAATGTTTAATTTCTTGGTTCATGTAATCGAAAAAGTTATCATGCAATAGCAGCACTCAACCAATACCATTAAAAAAACAATATATTTTCCCTTATTTTCATGTATTTATATATTTAATTGGAAGAATGCTGAGAACTGCGGAAGAAAGAAAGAACATACAGGGTGGTTTTTTAGTGCAAGAGAGTCCATTATTTTCGTTGGTGTGGAACTTTCGAAAATTAATTTGATCTAAAAGTTGTTGTCGCACATTTTAAAAATATCTTATTTGATACGAAGTGTCTCAGAAATGCGAGGCAAGATCAAAGTGTATTTTTTTAAATAGAACTACCCATTTCTCATTAGCTCATGGAATGCAGCTTGAAACGCTGCATATGCACCGTACCGTAAATTGTTTTTTTTTTACTTGCGAGGTTGGCAGATTATGGCCATTTTAGTAAAATTTTGCTTAAAATCATGGTATCTAAAAATTCACTGTAGAAGCAAAAAAAAACAGTTAAAGATACAAAAAAATACGCCTTTCCAATCACCACAGATCCGTTAACAATTTTATTGAACCAAAATATCAATACATTGTACAGGGCGTTAACAATGTGGACTTTAATCTAAAACTTTTTAACGCAATATAACTTTTGTTTTTCAAATGGAAGTACCTGTATATATATGTATATTAATGTCATTAGATAGACAATTTACAAAGTTACAAATTTGCATTTACACTTTAAGCTGTGAACGCAACGGTTTTCAAATTATAAATTATTTTATTTAAACATTTTAAAAAGTTGTTACATTTTGTAAGGTGGCTGGAATTCATTAAATAAGTGTCTAAAAAACCACCCTGTATATTTCGGAGAAGGTAAAACCAGGTAAAACTAAGTAAAATATAACTCTATGTCTGTTCACAACTTCAATGATTCGTGAATATAGATTTAGATGCCCCTCCTAATTATTACCAGTTTATTTAGATGGAGGCGAAAAATGTATTTTGTCGATTTATAGCAAAAGTGTAAATTATTTTTAGAACGTTGTCAACCACTCAAACAATTCTTTGGGACTAATGGGAGCTCCTAAACCGCGAATATATTATTCGAGTCAAAATAGCACAACCAATGAACTCAATCGAAATTCGTTGAAGACTAGTGATGGTAGGGTGAAATTAAAAAATGTTGGGGTAAGCAATAAGTAAATATTAAAAAAGTAAGAATATTCGATATTGAAGCATTGTCAAACATGTTTAAAATATATTTAAAATATTTATTTTTATCAGACATGCATAAGCTATAAAATAGTTATAGTTTTTAAGATACAGAGTGGCAAAGTTTGAAATGTATTACTTGCTGTGCTCAATATAAATTTGATTAGAATGTAATAAAAAAATTACTTTTGTAAGAAATTATTATATGTATAATTTTGTTTCTTAAGTGGCCTAATTCTTAAGAGTTTGCGAAGTTACATAAATTATACGGTACATTAATAATTCTCAATTACTTTTTTACAAATTACTTCGAGAAAACTTTAAATTTTCAAATAAAAATAAGTTGTGTGTGTTTTCCTTGTCCCTGAACTACATATTAGAAAAAGCTATCCCGAATCACAGAAAACCTTTAAAAGAAATGTACTATATTGAAATAGTATTTTCGTTTTAAATAAAATATGTTCGTTCATTGTTGAGGTCTTAGTATATAAACTGATTCACATTGTACCTATATGCAAGATCTGATGCGAATTCGGAGTTTTGCAAAAATGTCGATTCTAGAATTTAAAATAGAAAGCATCCAGATATAACACTTTTTATGCGACTTTTACGTGTCTGAAAGATTTGACTTCAAAACCTTATCAGATGCCAATCACAGGTCGATATGTATGTTTCAAGAAGAATAGACATTCTAGTTGTACAATAATAAAAAATATAAAAAACAACTTCTTAGTAGATTGACAATGTTTAACTTTAAGGACACTGAACAAGAGAAATTATGCATTTTGACGGGTACTGTTGAGCGAGTCATCAAATATGGAAAGATATTCCAAAACAAATTCAGCTACTTCCAAGTATTCGGTAAGAAACAATATTTTTCGCCCACAAAATTGGTTTTAAAACAGCAATTTTTTGCGGAAAAAATCGGTATTTTTTCCAGGTAGTGTTGTATCGATTAAAGAGGGAAAAGTACCGTTCGAAAATACTATGCTTCTAAGAGATAAGAAAGGACCAATTTTACATCTGATCTATTATTCAAATACGACTCATGTTAATATTGATGACTTCCATCTTGGTCAAAACTTAAGGTTGTTATTGTTATTAAATAGTTACTAAGATTTATCAAATACAAGATCATTTATTTCAGAGCCGTGGGTCGAATGGTGGGACCAAACGTAATGTCTGCACACACTATAAGAGCGGCAACCGAAGAGGAATTGGAGGTTCTTCCTAGAATGTGTTATATATCGGATTATTCAGTTTCAGTTTTGTGTGGAGATGGACAAATGTTTCAAAAGGCTTAACTTTCTCCTCTTCGTGTTCTCGACATTAATCTATTACGTGTTGCTAGATTATTTCCAAAATATGATTTCGAGTTGATTCGTAGAAATAAAGATAACTGTAAGTGCGTATTTAGAAATGATGTATGAACTACGCACTTTTTAGTTTAAAGCGGTTGTATTATAATAATGTTGGTTAACTTGGTGTTTCTAATTGCCAATATCTATTTTTAAAATGAAAGTGGTTCATCATCTAATTTTCCTTGAACATCATATCACTTGACATACGCCAGGAATAACAATACCACAAGTATTTTTTTTTTGCGGTTAAACAGCATTTTAATTTTTGCAAAAAATTCTGTCATACCTTTGATAAAGAGTACTATTATAAGCGCAAAATTAGATTTTATTACTATGAAATACATAAAATATCATGTAGATATTGTTTAACAACTGTCATTGTTTCACTAATCTTTATTAAGATATCTCATATTTAAAATCATATAGATTAAGCGCTGATAATCATGCTGAGCAACGTCTTTTTCATTAAAACAGTGCAGGATTTAGGGGGCCGTTT